ATCTGGCCAATGACTGTATTTGTCCCCAAACTGTTTGGGACAAATTTTATGTTGTTATAACAATAACAACCGCATCACAGCAACTACAACGAAATCTCGCTAGCGGACATTTAAGACACAGATCGTTTATTAGGACATTAATTTCTTTACAATTCATTTTAATTACTTTACTATACACATTTCATTAATTGCCTAAATGACTATTGTGTGTAGAACAAGTAAGTTCTTAAATTGATGACTGCTTCCGTGGTGCGCTGCAATTTCAGCACCAGCAGTTCGTTTAACTTGCATGACTAGAATTTCACTCGGTTTTTAGTTGCTCAAATTACACCACAATGTTTTTAACCTTAAAGCTTTGCGCAATTGCAAGTTTAGCATATAAAGTTGTTTCTTATTTTAATTTTAAAACGAACAGAAGACAAACAACAAGTACGACTAGATACTAAAATATGAATATGATTAAAAAAAAAAAACATATTTACCAAAAAGAACAAATTCAGCGACACCCTGTGTTCAGAAATGCATCAAGCCAAAGTATCGAGTCTCTTTTATAACTGTGGGATACATATAACTGATGAAAATTTCCAATATGCGCAACACGGTTAAATGCCTAATTTGAACTTAACGGCGCGCATATAAGACCGATGATTTGGCTTGATGCATTTCTGCACGCAGCCACATTCGGTAGTCTAAAAACACACATTTTAAAATTAGTCAAATTTGAGGAAAATCAAACATTTTAATAATTCAAGATATTTTTAATAACTGCTTATCTAATTTAAATAAGCAAACAAACATACAATATGATCTTAAAATTTATCACAATATTGCACCAAAACAGGCCTATGTCTTTTTTTGAACGAAATTACATATATTTAAGTTTATTTGGAACACCTGCACCAGTGTAAATAGAGACGTACAAGAATCTGATTTTTTTGGGACTCACGGAAACAAGTATAGAAACTCGTACATATGTACAGTATTGGACATATCTATAGCACCCCCCTTTCAAAGCGATATTGTTTGCCACTTATGTTTAGTTATTTGTTTTTAAGAATTTTCAATTAAAATACAGTTCATTCTCTAACAAAACCCATATAAACCCATGTTTTAAACTTTTTAAAAGACCGCAAAAAAGCGCAACAAACTTTTCCTTAAATTTCAAACTTTTTTCTCAGAAGCTCTAGAATTTTTTTGAGTACACAGTTTTATAGCGCATTCAATTTTAGTCCAATAATGTGCAAGTTTCAAGTCGCTAAAGATTACCGTTGATTTTTTAGAATTTTTTTTTGTCTCATTTGCTTCCATATAACGACTAAACACAATTTATTTTTATATGGCAGAAACCCGCAACATCCTCGGCGAAAAAAATTCTACAAAATCAACGGTAATCTTTAGCGACTTGAAACTTGCACATTATTAGACTAAAATTGAATGGGCTATAAAACTGTATTCAAAAAAATTCTACCGCTTCTGAGAAAAAAGTTTGAAATTTGGGTGAAAATTTGTTGCAGTTTTTTGCGGACTTTTGAAAAGTTTTAAACTTGAGTTTATGTGAGTTTTGTCAGGAATGAACTGTATTTGAATTGAAAATTCTTAAAAATAAATAAATAAACATGAGTAGCAAACAATATGACTTTGAAATGGGGGTGCTATTGTATTGGCCAATACTGTATGTATGTGCATTGAAAAAAAAAATTCTTAAAAAGACTTAAAAAAAAAACTTAGAAAGGCTATCAATGCCTTCTGCACATGTTAAGCATTTATAACGAGAATTAGCGAAGCATTTAAGATACTTTCTTAAATCTTATCTTATGCATTCTATTAAGTTTTTGTTTATTGTTTTTAATTAAACTTTTTTATTTTATTAAATTTTATTTACTGATTTAATTAGCTTCGCTCAGCAGTATTTAATTAATAAATGCAATTCTAATAATTTGTTTAGCTCTCTTATGCGTCAAACTAATACTAAATCCTACTGACCGGATCTTTTCTAGAACTTTCCTATATATATGTATACATATTTTTTTACAAAGTTTACAGCAAATCGAATGTATTAACGGCTGCTATGACAAAGTTACTTATATACACATGTTTGAAGTATATGTATGTACATATAGATATTATCGTATTTTATATATTTGTGTAAGTGCCAGATCCCCTTTGCGATTATTTAAAAGCCTTTCGTTTAAAGTGCATTAATTTTATGGCACGACCTTCACGGTTGAAGTTAGAAAGCGAAGCGCAAAGCACTAATATATACTTGCATATGCACATACATATATATACTTATGGATGTACATTGGACTGGGCCATGCCATAGTTTAAAAGCTTACTGACGTAGACAAAAAAAAATGGCTTAGAAAAATATGACTTGTAATATTTAATCAATAGATTGCCTCTATGAATAGTTCTTAAATGAAGGCATATAACAGACAAACGGAACAAAGGCACATTCATAGAGATTTCTTATGATTTGCCGTGAAAACGCCTATTGATTTTATTAATCATAATGTCCTTCAAAAATAAAAATTAAAATATTTAGGTAATTTTTTTACTAGATAGAACTACACTTCGAAGAAATTCTCAAATGTGATCCACCGCGAATGATAGCTATGTCGTCAGAACTTATGGTGAAATATAATTTTTAACATATCGCTCATTTACTTCAATAGTGTCGTAATCCAAAAAATGCAAAAACTCAGTTAAGTAAGCAGAAATTGGCGCGCGCTACATCTTCTTCTAATTTGTGTAAAAATTTCATAGCTGTATCGATTACTAGTATCTCACTATAACAAAGTATGTATGTATACATTTCTAATATGGGAGTATGTACATATATATGTATGTATGTATATGTTTAGCTCGAGTTTTGCTTTTTTGAGTTATGATACTATTGAAGTAAATGATCGATATGTCGATAATTTATAAAATTCCTTTCGAAAAATACCAAACAATTTCCAAGTTCTTAGTATCTTTTAGTTGAATGAATGTGTCTGGGGGGAGACTGAAAATCCCTCTCTTTACCTTTGTGCACTCAAAGACGAGTTTTAGCCAAAAACACTTAATTTTCAAGCTTTTCAATCTTTTTTTATGCTATAAAATACATTTATACTATACGCTTTGTGCACCATAGACAGTGTTTTAACTATCCTATCTATATATCTACTACGCGCTTTCGTTTTCAGTAAAAATTAGGCTGATGTAATCTTCATAGATATATGGAAAAATATTTGAAATTGTGACTGGCCTCTGTGACTGATGTAAAGTACTTAATTATTGGACATCGGAATTTTATGAAATTGCATATTTTTGTTCAGCATTCTAGCGATCCCGGACAGACATCGAAGTTCATTTAATTGAAATGTAAGAATAATTATATACATAAATTCATATTTGCATTCTTATAATTAAACTTAATATGCACAATTATATGTATGTACATGTTCTGCTTTACGATCAAATCGTGCAATTTTTAGTTTGAGTGTAAAACTATCAGCTGATATTATTAATTAACAAAAAACTCTTTTTCCGGGCTTAGAAATTTTTTAAACAATGCTGAGGACCGCTCTATTTCAATATGATTTCTCCAACAGTTTTGGAACACAAATTTGTTTTTGCCCCAACCACTTCTTGTGTAGTAGAAAAAGCTTTTTTTCAATATTTATATTACTTTTAAATGATAAAAGGCAAAGCTCCAATGTAGAAAATTTGGAAAAACTATTAGTGCAAAATAAAACTTTTTACTTATTAAGCCACCCTGGTATAACAAGCTTTTCGATTTGTTCGAACACAAATATTTGTGTTAAATGTATATCGAGCCCTAATAGCCAAAATAACGCAAGCGAAATTTTTTTTAAATTTTATTTTTGATGTAGAAATGCATCTAGGTATATTTCTGCATCAAAGAGAAAATTTTGAAAAACAATCCGCTTACGTTATTTTGGCGGTTAGGGCTCGATATGTACTAGTATAAATTATACGTAAAGTAGTTTTCGAGCCGCTTCGTTGGGTGTGGGAAATTCTGCGAGTAACATTAGTTGTAATTGATTTCAATAAAACTCAACTCAAGCTTAGCCAAAAAGTAGGAGATTTTCACATTTTTTCTTTTCTTTTAAAAATCTTCAAAATATTATCAAACTAAATCCTTCTTAAACCTCTTTCGTATGAGCTATATTGTGATACATACTCATTTCAATAACAACATAGATCAAATTGGCCGTTTCAGAACTATTTCGATTGATACCCGTAATGCAATAATTCATTCAACTTATCCAACCTTATCCTGAGTTCGCCCAAAACTCATGATAATGATAATTGATTAATTTGAATTGAATTAAATTTTTGAATAGGTGGCAACCCTCTTCAAGCACTTCAAAAATATTCTAAATGTAAAACTAATTACATATTTCTAACATCCTTTCTATGAGTGTGAAATATTTAAATATTTCATATGACTAGATATTTTAATTAGATCCAACTTTTTAAACAGATGGCAACCCTCTTCAAAATATTTTCAAACTACAACCTTCTTAAACCTCTTTCATCTGGTACCTTTATTGGAATATATAACCCTATTTTTTATTTTGTAATCCAAATATATTTAGTAGAGGTCGCTCAAGGTGCTTAAAGTTTGCCATGTATTTTATATGGGGAAAAAAACTTTTCGTAGAACTGGTATAGAATTCTTGAAATTGGATATTTTTCGATCGGAAAACTCTGGTTCTCTTCAAGAGACTTCCAATTGTTTATTTAACAATTTGTTTATTTAACAATTTTTTAATGATAAAGAGTTTTTATTTTTCCCCTATTGTATTTTCTGGCATTTTCTGCGGGTTTTGGCAAACCTATAAAATAAAGTAACTATGAAAAAATGGTTAAATAAATAATTGGGTTTTATTATTGGGAATCTCCTGAAGAAAAACATAGTCTTCCGATCGAAAAATATTGATTTTTAAGAATTCTATACCATTTCTACGAAAAGTTGTTTCGTCCCCATATAAAATATGTACATGGGAAAACTTGGAGCGCTTTGAGCGACCTCTAAATATTTTTTGATTTCAAAAAAAAAATTAGGATATATTTTTCTTCGATATAGAGCAAGCCTAGGGGATGAGAGCATACAAATTCCGATTTTACTTTTTTCATGCATTTTTGGACCCCCCCTAGTGGGCACCCACCCAGTCCAGTGTACTATACATAAAATATTAAGCGAGCTAATGTATACATTAGGGCTGGGAGTTCCTCCGGATAATCCGGATATTCGCATATCTGATAAAAAAAAGTCCGAACATCTGGATAAAAAAATGGACGGATATTCGGAGTTTTCAATCTTAAACTAACAATAAATTAACAATTGTTTATGTATTAAAGACGTGTTGTAATCTATTATTAGTTTTGCAACTCAATAGATTCAGTGATTCTGAGAGCTGTTTAGAATATCCGGATAACAAAAAGAACTCATATTAACCAGATATCTGTTTAATATAAATAATGGATACTAAGCGGATATCGGGATTTTATTCGTATACTCGAATATCCAAACGGATATCTAGATATCCGAATATATGGGTAGTCCCAGCCCTAATATACATACCTACATACATACATACACAAAAACTCCTTAAATTTATATAAAAAGGCAATGGTTAAGGTGATGTTCCCTGCTAAGATATTTGCAGTACGGTCCTTTTTGGCCGAGAAAACGGCGGTAGTTTTGCTGCACAAAGCGCAAATTCACGGAATATCCTCAGTTAAAAAATTGAAAAAGCTAAGTGCAGTTATCAAATTTATACCTGGCTCCACACTGGGAAAATAGTTTAGTTACGTCAGCTAAATATGTTTCTCTCAACACATTAGGTACGTTCGTTTAAAATATCCAGTAAAATATATCCAACAGCGAAATTGTATCTGTTCTCTTACAAGAGAAAAATATCCAAAAAAAAATTTTGCAGAAACTTGAAAGTTAGACGAACAGCTGATAGAAAGTCTGTTTACATTCAAAAGTATGAAATTGAAAGCGTAAGAAGACAAATCCCAAAGTCCTATCCTCACACAGTTTACTGGCTAGGCGAATAATTACTTACTTCTTACAATTGAAGTCGTCGTATTTTATTATTTTTAACTTCGAAACGATCAAATTCGATTTAGTGATTTGCTTAAATTGCACCCAGCTGTTTTCTTGTTGGCAAACTGCTGTTGGCAAACATTTTTTTCAACAGAAACTATCAGTTTCCCCTCAAAACTAAATATCATTTTTATCTCTCAATTTCCCCTACTTTGCAAGTTTTCTGCGTACGGGAACACAAAAAGCTTTCGATAACTTTCAATAATTGTCAGGTACGCGAATGCAACTAACTAATATTTGGTTATAGTGATTGAGAGAAATATACTCAGCTGACTATTTTCTGAGTGCGATTTCGTGGCTGAAACTCTGCAAAAATCAATTAATACATATACATATACTATTTCTAAGTAATATTCTATGCATTGCTATTATTTATGTGCAATGACAAATGAACTATATTTTTGTTTTACCGAAAAAAGGCGAACACAGACAAAAACATGATTGGTTAGTAACCAATCAACCGGGCCTCCTCCAACTAAGTAACCACTTTCCCAGACCCAAACGCTACCTTCTAAAAGTCACATAGTATATCATAATTATCCACCTGTCGCAGCGGTGCCACATCGTTCACCACCTCACTCAGATATTGCGTTATCAGTGGCGGCAACTTTAGTTTCACCAAATCCTCCCTCGTCTTGACATGCTTGATAATTTCGGCACGGCAACGATCTTGTAGATTCACAAAATCGCGTCGAGTACATTTCAGAGTCATTTCGGTTTTTGCAGCTGTAGAACAGACAATCGGATAAAGCGGTTCCTTGATCTGAAGAACAAAAAGGAATTAAAATCTACATATGTATTTGGTGAAACACACATTCGCCCACCTTATCTAAACCTCGAAACGCGACGCCCAAGCATTTGCCATCTTTGTAATAGGTGAGCGTACCTTCGATCCCATCGAAGAGTATACCAATAACTGTGGGATGATTCTCTTTGAAGCGTTTGGTGTAAAGCAGCGCAACACCTTTGTGCCACAGTACTCCTTTGTGCGATAGACCCCAGCCGTGTTCGTTCTCACCCAACATATTACGAAATGAGTTGGCGTGAAGACCTGCAATAAATACAATATAATTATAGAAAACAACGAAATAAATGAAAGAAGACTGTTTTCTTGGACTGATAACCGATAATTATTTTCTCTGCTGGATTTTCTCAATGGACCTATCACTCTAGAGAAGTTTCTGAATACTGATACTAGAATGGTACTCCATTTCACTTCAATGGCCCCGACCTGCTTCATCTCATTTGTCTGTAGACGTCAATCTGTTCTATCTTGAAGGTCGTGCGAAAGACTATCTTAACAATCCTAACCTAGCTTACCCCGTGGAGTTTTTGAATTCACTGGAGCCATCAGGAGTTTACCCTCCATAATCTTAATTTAAATTTTTTTAGCTCCCATTATTCTTCTTTCGTGACCATATTCCACCTAATATTTTCTTGTGTAAAATTTCCTTAAGATAGTACGCAGTTCTTCAGAAATTTGCTACGCTTTCTACTACTAAAGTGTTTTGTGAAAAAAGAGCTGTTTGCAACAGAAATATATGCCCGCTCTATTATTTCTTAAGAAAAGAGCTAGGCAACAGGCTGTGAAATATCAGATGTCAAAACTCCTTGGTCACATACAAGAAATAATGGCAATTTTTTTCTTGACCGTTTTCTTGAGAGCTGGAAACTAAGCTTAATGCAAAAATTATTACTGGCTGCTGGAAAGTAGTAGGATCCTCCATTTGAATTTAAAAGCCTTCAGTTTCCGTTGGGGTTATCTTCACCATATCGATAAATAAATCTCAAGGTCTAACGTTAAAGGTGACTTCAAGCTGGAAAATACCTGCTTTACTAACGTTATACATACGCCCCAAAAAATCAAAGTGGATTTTTCTAATGCATACTCACTCATTTTATTGGTTTTGTCTTAAAAACTATCTAAATAAAATGTTATGCAAATCGGACCACGGCAACCCGTGCCGACTTTTACTTCTATATAAGGCGGTATAACTATACTCCCTACAGTATTAGGGCATAACATTTAGTAAACCGGCTTAGTTTTTATCAGGTAGTCAGGATTTTTTCCAAACAACCATAAATTATAATAAATATATTTCCAAAGTTTACACAAAATATGGATATCAATTAAAAGAAAAATTCAAAACAATATTAATTGTAACTATTGCATTTTGAAGAATCTTAGTTTAATTTAAATCCTATAAATCTGTGGTCATTAGCAATAATCGCCTAAGTTGAAAAACCTGAATTTGGGAGAAAACGCTTTAATGTTAACCTTATGGGGAAGCCAAAATATTTTCATCTATTACTTTTTAAATAGCCTAGTTAACGAGATGGGAGTTTCACATATACATGGAATAGTAGTTGCAGAAAACAATAGCATATATGTATAACCCAATTCTTTCTTAAGTCGACTTAAGCGCTTTTAGCTTACGACCACTGAAATATATATAAGGATATTGAAAGTTAAAAAGTGCAAAAAAATATTGTCCTTTAATTAATTTCTTCGAAGTCCTTGGGAGAAATCCTGCCGACCTATTAAAAACATATGGCATTTTTCGCATTTTCAAAGTTTCCATTGACGATTAATGCAAGTTTTTTAATACAACTTCAACTAAAAGTCGGCACGGCACGGGTTATCGTTATCCTAAATAAGGCCATAAAACTTCAAATATTTATAGGCTATTCAAGCTAAAAAGCACAAATATAGAGGGTATGCATATCAAAATTTGTAAACAAATTTGTTTCCAAATATATTCTTGGGACAGTCTAATGCAGGGCTGGCAAACCTAAGGCACGCGTGCCCATGATGACACGCAACAAAATAATTTGGGCAATTTGGTAATGATTGAGGACACAATTTCTCAATTACTAGTAGTAGTATTTAGTAATAGTAAGTATTAGCTAATCTCGATATTTATAGATATTTTCAAATCGACCCAACACACGTGAATCTTAATATATTTCCGAAATATTTTGGCGGAAATCATAAAATACATATATTAAATCTTATAACTCCGATGGCAAAACATTACCAATATTTTTTTCGCTCTAGAGAGCTTGTAGATTTTCAGCCAGTAAGTAGTCCGAAATGAAGGATCCATCGATTGAATGACAAACTAACTACTCTGACTCGGAAGAACTGTGATACCACAAACTAAAATCCTACTCACCCCATACCTAGACTACAAATAATACTTTCTCATCTATTCATTACAAATTTTGTATAAGCTTTATTTTAGAATACTTACGCGCTTGTTTTGTTCCAATACCGAACATAATGCTAGTGCCGAAAACCCGCTGTGACACATGCAGTTCCCAATAGAAACGACCATTGTTAAGAGGTCGCTTGCCCTGTACCCCGGCCGTACCTTTGCTCCAATTCGGATGGAAATGAACGGTGCGATTGTTGGCCCCACTTAATACTATCTCCTTGGAACGATGCCGTTTACTCCATGTCCAATTGTCTTCACATCCATGCTCTAGCGGCATGACTTTCTTTCGCCGACCCATTTGGGAAGAGGGGCTTCCGATGGCCGCGTTTGCGGTACCAATTGTTGCGTTTGTGCTGGAGGTCGAGGTCGCGCTCGTGGTAGCAGATGCTGCAGCTTGCAGCTCGGCAAGCGGTGCGACACGTTTTGGTGATGAGTTCAATGAATTATTGTCGTCATCCGAAGCCATCATTTTACAATTGTAACAGGACAAACACCAAATTCTGGCGAAACGTGCAATTGTGCAATTGTGCTTGCAATCGAATTACCGAATTAACCTGCTATCTAATTCAATGTCAGTTCATTGCTTTTGTGGCGCTTCAATGTCATTCATGTCATTGATTTTTTTCAAGACTTGATGCAGCTTTTCAGAAATTCAATAGCTCTTCGAAGAGTTTGCATTTCTTTATTTCTTGCATTCAAGTTGTCTAGTCACTTTGGCATTTTGCTAGAGAAAGGCCACTTCCGGTGCACATCGACGACTACACCTCTACTAAATAAGCTTTTCACCTTTACCTGTGTAACGTTCAACAGCTTGTACTCTTATCTAGACGCAAATCGCTTCTTACCTCTTGACCCACTCTTGCTCGTCCTTTGTCTAAAATACCTGCGTATGTGAGTGTGTATGGCGCAGATTGGTGCCTTTGTCTAGTTGTCACTTTCTCCTAACCTATTGGCTCACTTATTGCACTATGATCTGATGACAGCGCTTTTTCGTAGCTTTTTAGGCTATTAAATGGCAAGGAATCTGAAAGGCTTAATATTTATTCGCACTAAAAAATACAAAAATATATTTAATAATATTTTACTATCAATTCAAAAATATGTATATGTATGTGTATAATATCCTAAGACTAAACAAACATTTAAGCAAAATATCATTAGAATAAAAAGAAAGCAATATTCGTATTGAAGTATAAGCAAAATAAAGTTGTGCTGTCCGGGTGTTCGACTTTGTATTTTAAAGTAAAATTTCAGTCACCTATTTATTAATAATATTGACTATCATCGCCAAGTAGCGTGTATCTTTCAACGACTCACTCTCTGGTCACCGCTATATCGAGTTCTCAACTGCGAGCCGATAGAGTTTTAATGAAGGCGAAAGGCTCGCTGGGATATGTTTAAGAAAACTGGTATATAGTCAAAGGACTTGGCAGCAGTATAATGGAGTCATTCAAATTTGCATGTCCGTCAGAAAAATACATTACATTATTTATCACACATGTAATGTATTACATACTACTTTTCCCGCTGGGTATTAATCGCCTTTATTCATAAAACTAGAGATAATATACTGATCAAAAAATTTCGGCCATAAAAGTATGTGTACATCAGTCTTACTAAAGGTGCTCATACAAGTGTGGGACGCACATGTGCAAACGGCCCTATATTCCTAATAGCGTGGAATCAAATCCTAGTTAGTAAGGTAAAGTAAGGTGGGTGTTTCGTCAGGGGATTTTCATGGCTGCCTTTGACAATGTTTTTCTTTTGCGAGCATCAGATAAACTGGCGTTAACAATACTGTAGTTTCTTGGCTTCGGCCAAGGCTTAGATATTAACTGCCATCGTTCTGCACTTAATTCATTACCCAGTATAACTCTTTTAGATTTATTTCTTTTGGTGAGGCTTCAAAAGCTGCCTACATGAGCGCTTAGAGGTCCAGGATATGCCTTCAGACTAGCCATTCTTGGCTTCAAAATCTGCCTACATGAGCATATTGTCTCGCTTAGTGGTGCTGGATCAGAACCAGACCTTGGATACTCTAGGATCTAAGCAGAGCTTGAAACTAGGGTTGAACATTTCTATTGTATATTGTCTACAAGATGAAGACACTGTCTTACACTTTATCAGCAGTTGTCTGGCATTTCTCATTCTCTCATTTCTACATATTCAACTCTCTGGAATTCTCCTTAAGCTTGTCTTCTACAATTAATATATGTATGTATATCATGTGAAACATCATTTTCACGGCGGCCTATAGGCGATTTCAATTTCATATGGAATAGCAAATAGTGTACGGCGACTAACCTGTTCTTTCAAGTTGGAAATCCCGCTCACTTCGTATAGGGGTCCCTATATGTATGTATATGTAAGTACATAGTACTATAATAAAACACAGATAGAATTCTCAAAATCGTTTAACTGACAACTCGATTAGTATTAATGACGCCACAAATTTTTCAACGTCGCCGAACACAACAACCCGTATAAAACCAAGCCGGAAGAAGATATATATATAGATGAACGGAATAAAAAACCTAAAGTCTGTTAGTGAGTAACGAGTTGCGACTTTATTGAAATTACAGCTTTGTAGGTGATTATGGGTATTTAAAGTAGACTTAAAAGACAACTTCTTGAGGCCATTAGTTGTAAAGCGTTACAAAAAAAAAAAAAATAGCAAGCAAACGAACTCTTTTATCTCTATTATAAGTATGCGTTAACTCACCTGCCTGTATTTCGCAGATATCTTTCTTCAGTTCTTTCTCACTCATTCACAGGTGTGTCGTAGTTATAGTTGAATTTGGCGTTAGCTTCTCTTCTAGAACTGGTGGCGATTCCTCGATGGATTCCTGTTCCTCAGCGCCGTAATAGGCAACACTCTCCAAGGAGGTGGCTAAACCAGAATCTGTTGTGTCAATGTCAGTAAGCGACCCATTAACGTTGTATACAGCGGCGAAAGGTGACTGATGACCACTGGACGAGTTCGATGTGGACGTATCCCACAATGGACTACCACCGCTGCTCGAGCTACTGCTGCTGCTAATAGTACCGGCGTTTCTTGCCCTCATTGACTCTTCATATTGCTGTCGCCTCAAATACTGTCGGTTTAGTTGAAATTGCTTTTGCATTGGGTGTTGTAGCTGTTGTGGTTGTTGTTGTTGTTGCTGTAGTGACGTTGTGGCACACAATCGATTTTTCAAATTACGCTTCAATTCACGATTCACTTTGCGTTGCTGCCGCCGCTGCGCCCATGTATGCTCCAAGGCAGTGGTGCTGTTACCACCACAGAGCGGCTGCCAAAATCGTGGCCGATATTGTGATAGTGGATGGCTTTGTTCTACCTGTTTGTTTTGTTGAGCTTTTCGCAACTCCAATTCCTGTAGATGAAAATGGTGACGACAGTATCCCTGCGGGCTGTTCGCGCAAAAACGACAAGCTTCAGCTAAAATACCCCCCGCCGAGCCGTCTGGCTCACCGCACGCCGATGTAGAATTGCGCTTACGCGTCTGCTTATTGCTCTCCAAGCGCCCAGTGTGGTACTGCTCTAGCAGGAGCTTACGTGTCGCGGCCGATGATGTCTCAGCGGCCTCTTTGAGTAGGCGTGAGTTCTTCGGATTGATCCATCGATCGTGTATATGCAGAACAAGCCGCTGACAGTATAAACATAGCGATTGAAACAATAACAACAAAACGATAATCATATATATGGAATGCTTGCTTGTTCAAGAATGGAAGGTGACGTAGATGGAGACCAATTGGCGACTAGTTAACAAATACTGCTGGTGTGCGGCTGAGGTTTTCTTACTGACAGGTTTTTTTTTTGTTGAAAACAAGATGCTGGCCGAAGGACTTAGAACGGACCCTTCGATTTCGTTGTAGGCTGAGGATTTTCTTCAATAAAGTACATACATGTGTATGTATGTCGACGTTGCCTGCGAAGGTGGGTGGATGGCAGATACTTTATAGGCGCTTTTGTGTGTGTGTGTGTATTTGAGAAGAACTTTTCGATTTTTTCCAATGCCTTTCGCTTAAAGCTTATTGTCGCATGCAATTAATTTTCGTTGATTCTTAACCGAACAAAAAAAAAAACAAAAACTTATAGAACAAGTAAATTTAACTTTGGTATTTTTCAATATTTTTAATAAATTTCTTTCTTCCACGAACACTTATCGACTTGTCGTGCACTCGCTCCGTAGCTAGCTCGTTAGATGGTCTGTATTACTCCATTCCTGTCTGACTTCTGTCAGCCGACTGCGACTGCTCTACACTACTGCGCCCAGCAACCCCCTTTTCGCTCGCTCCGAATTTTCCAGTCTGCATGGCAGTCATCCAGCCAACCCCATTTGACTTTTTATCTATCGCTTCATCTACTCATTTGTGATTTTCCACCCCCAATTGGATCGGCCAATGTCGATATGTATGCACCTATATATTTGTATACATATGTACATATATGAATAAGTTACCGTTTTCTTCTGTGTTTAATTTTATCAAATTCTTTGTTTTGTTACCGGCGTTCGCTCACGCCACCCTTTCTAAGTGTGTTCATGTATTGCTCTTTAAGCGTGGTTCTGTTAAGCCTTAACAGTCGCAAGTGCTTCATCCCTAATATTAGGTGTGTATGTATATAAACTTGTGTATTGTAAGTTAATACATATGTGTATATACATACATACATATGTATATATGTACGGATATATTCGCCCGCATTATGCGTATTTGCTTATCAGCAGCTGATATTTTTAGTAGATGCATACATACATTTGCATATAGACACATCCCAGTGGGAAAATGTAATGTATGGTAATCGAAAAAATAATCTGTATAAAACAACCGTTGTCACATTCGAAAATGCCCTTTTCCATGGCGCTGTTCTAAAAAAGTAAGGCATTAAATATTGTAGTATCTAGTAAACGAGGAATGTATGCGATTTAATATGAATTTTTTGGGGATTTTCGGAAAACATTAAGCCCGGATCACACAATGGATGGAATGCCTTAATTTATCTTCTAATGGTGTGATTTCACAATAAATTGTCTCATGCGGCAATCGAGGCCAATATTGTGCTTATTGTGCCCAATCAAACATAAACCGGGTGCAACAACAACAATTGTTTGAAATGTTTTGAATTGTGTGACAGCACAGCAATTGGAAAATTTCAAGTCGTTTTCATTTGTTGCGTCCTTGAGTGTCCCCCTAGGTAACATTCTTGGTCTAATTTTATTTATTCTCTTCATCAACCAGTGTCCTGTTTTAAAAATTAGAAAGTTTTACTTTTTACTATTTTTCGTAGTATTACCTGCGATACTGATTCTCATCTGCTACAACAGGACTTAAATAATCTCATCGAATGGTGTCACAGGAGCAAACTTTCATGCAATACTAACAAATGTTTCCATATGTCTATTTATAAATCTCCGGAGTTTCGGCAACCGTGCTATACTATTGCTAAACACCAACTTATTTTAGTTAAATATTTTATTGATCTTGGAGTTGTGTTCGATAATCGTTTTACTTTCAGAAATCACATATCGCACACCGTCTTCAAAAGAGTCATAACTCAAAATTTTGTATTTTTGAGATTATGCGCTAAAAATGTACGCAGAGCTGGAGCAAATTTTTATTATAATTTGTTTAAAAAAAACCCTAAGGTAAAGTCGCCCTTGCCCATATGATTAGCATGTGCTAAGAAATAGTTTTTCACATTTTCTTACAAACGTATTATTTTGAGTTGTGACTCTTTTGAAGACGGTGTGCGATATGCTATGTCCTTCCCAAGGTTTATAGTAGGAGTCCTCATCTAAAGTGATAAAGGGATAAAATGCTTAAATTTTTCAGTTTATCCGCATTCCTACATGAACGCGCCTTGGTAAATAATTGCATAACATTGTTTATTATTTAACTTAAATGGCTAGTTACGTTTCAGTCTTACCTCGTCCGTTGTGTTCATTTGCTTTTTATGTGTTTGTAGCGAAAGCGATCCCCTGGCAACCTGCCAAGGTAGAATCCACCAAAATCGTTTGATAAAATGATAAAATTTGGTCGAAGTCGATTTCCATACCAGGTTTGACAGTTCATTTATCAAAATGATAAATTTATCATTTTATCAATTTTATCAGCAGTTTATAATTTTTGATTTCAAAGGAGACTTCTCTACAACACTTAAGTTCGTTCAAAACTTGAGTATGCCGCTATTATTTGGAATCCGATTTATAATTGCCATGCTACTAGAATTGAAAGGGTGCAACGTACATAAGTTCATTCGCTTTGCACTTCAATCGATAAAATTCGAAGAGCCGCTGCCCTCATATAGTGCTCGCTATATATTAATAAGCTTAAAATCACTTAAGAGCAGAAGAATAATCCAGTCTCTAATGTTTGTTTACGATGCAATTAATGGTTTCGTTGACCGTTTCGAACTTCTCGGGCTGATTGACTTCAATCGGAGTATTTGGCTGAAAAATTCGTATCAGAAAATCAATTTTCGGGTGTGGTGTAGTCGGAATTTACTTTAGCTTAAGCCATTGTGTGCAATGAATAGAAACAGAGTTTATTTGACTAGCAATGCAGCAGTGGTGGCTATCACAGAATCCATCGTAGTTCGATTTTTCGTGAAATCTACGAAAATGCGATCACTGAATCCGAATTGCTACGAAATTCTATTAGAAATGGCTAACCCTGCTCAAAAAACTTTCATTTTGGCCAGTGTTCTCAATGCTTAGGCAAAATTTATAATCATGAGCAAGATATCAATTTTAAGTTTGCCCTTCTTGATTTAATCGAATCGAATGTCTTTCTAATTCGGATTCTATTTACAAAATGTTCTAAAAAAAATACAAATAATCTAGAAAAATTTTTTATAAGTAAACAGAGAAAATTTTCAGCTAAATACGTTGGTGAAACCATGATAAAAAAATAGGAGGCATCAAGAGCAGCGCTAGGTGTTGTAGAGAAAGCTCCCGTGCAGCACACGCCAAAAATAGTTCTTTGAAGTTTAGCAAGCAGACTTCCAACGTTATTAATTGAGAGCCTGCTCCACCATACCACTGACGCATAGCTGATTATGGGTCTGATCAAAGCGATATAAATTCAGAGGATTTCCTTTGGCGACAGACCCCACGTTTTGCCAAAGACCTGTTTACCTTGCCAAAATGCAACCAATGCGTTGGAGGTCTTGTGTTCCACGTGCGATTTCCACGATAGTTTTCTATTCAGACTTACTCTTAGATACTTCTCTCCGGGAGAGGGTCTGAATTGTGCCTCCTTTAAGTGTGTGTATCATTTACTATTTCTCCGTTTCTTTGAAAATCACGTGCGTAAAGATATGGGGAGTTTATACATAACTGCGTAAATTAAAAAAAAAAAAATCTTTTTGAAAATGCCATTAATAAAGAATCATATGCAAAAGAGAGACAAAGATGCAAGAAAATTTTGGCTCACAATATTTACACCGGAAAAAACTTCGGTCGGCGCACAGTGGGGCAAATGAAGGGGGTCGTGGACAAATCAGTCTAGAGGTCTAAATTTTGATCCAATTTACAATTTTATTTCTTTAAATTAAAGATGACGAAATTCCTTGTCAACAGTGAGAGCCGGTTTTTTTTTTAAAGATTTAAAATTTTTCTACAATAAAGTTTTTTAAGAAGAAAAAAAAGTTTTTAAAAAGAAAAAATGTTTTTAAAAATACACTAATGCAAACAAAATGTATTTCGCTTAGTAAAAGGGCACCTCAATAATAACTTCAATAGACAATATACAATATATGTGTATAATATACTGTGTATAGTTTCAAAAGAATTAAATATTTAAAAAACTTTTTAAGATACCACGTTTCTTTTAGTCCATCCAAAACGTAAAACATAATTTTTCTTACACCCATAGAAATTGTGTTGATAAGTTTTGGATTTTAAAATTTTAGCAATTATTTTCTTCCCCTGTTTGACTTAAAAACCAATCAATATACATAAGTATATACTACTCGTATTTTTCTTTTTTAAATGATTCGATTGATTTTAAATAAAATTTTTAAGTTTTTCGCTTTATTTAGCAGTTTAGTGTAAAAAAAAAATTTATGGATGTATGTATGTAGATTGTGCCTATGGATTGCATTCAATTGCTGTACATACATACATATGTACATACATAAATATTCGGTATTTGTGTTTCGTTTTATTATTTTTCTCTTCATACAAATATACAGTTAATTAGATGGCTACTACACATTTACATATTTATTTAGTTATGTTTTATTATTTAGTTTTTGTTTCGCTTATAATTTACATGCTAATATTACAATTAAAAAACAAGAAGCTTTAGACATTTGCAGTTGCAACTTCATAGTATAATGGCAGAATTTTTGTTTCATTTTGGTTTATATAAGTATTCGTAAACATTAACATTAACACTTGGGCAAGTACTTTTCGATTACATATATATGTATATAATATAATCATTAGAAACTACAATGTGAGCGTAAAGTTCATTCTAAGGCAATTATAAGGAAATCATAGCAAATTGTTACCTGTAACAATTTTTCAGGGTTTCAGGCTTTCTCGAATGTAAAGTTTAATAAAGTTATTCAATAAAATTATCTTTAGGCTTAAAATGGCATACAAATTTGGAGAATGGGGGGGTGGGGAAAAAATGTTTATATAAGACTGCAGCTTACTTATGTCGAATTTTTTATACACACTGTACACCTCGATACTCTTTGTAGCAGATTTCCAGCCTTGAGCGTTTGCATTGCTGGACGTTGGAACTGTTCATGGTTCTCGACTGTGACCAACCAGAAGCTGGTCATTGTTTCGTAGAAGTGGCAGTGACCCTTGCCGCCATTGCATTCGATGAATGGTGTGGCGCGGAAATCTTCCAAGCAAGAACCGGGCGATGCTAGCGCTTGGCCACCACCGCCATTACCAACGGCAGTATGCTAGAAGTATAGGGGAAATAAAGAAATTGAGCCATTCAGACTACATATTCACAAAAGAAATGAATTACCATAACGAAGCTGTAGCCTATCCATAGGCTCTCCCATCCATAGGGGCAGTCGGGAATGGTTAGCGACTGGCTGTGTACAGCGATGACATTCGCTGGTGCCTCGCACACCACACAGCGCGATATATATTTGCTAATTTCCTGGTTGTTGATAGGCATCATTGGAATGGGAGCGGATGTTGAAAGCCAGAAGGTCTTATCGTTTCTCGAGGCGTAGTTGCAAACGTTGTTCTGGCCACATGACATCACTGGCAGTGTTGAGAAGCGACGCACGCAAGAGCCGGCCGTTCCGAGATCTTGGTTGTGCGCATAATCGTTACCGTCCACGTATAACATTGAGAAACCTGTCCATAATTCGATTTGACCTAGCGGGCAACGTGGTATTTCTTCAGATTGACTGTGCTTAACCAGCAATATGCCAGTCAGATAATCTTGTGCTGCTGTGCAAGCGGCACCAGTGTCTCCTTGTGGGCCGGGCAGACCCGGCGAACCGTCACGGCCTTGTGGGCCTGGGAAACCTTGTTCACCTTTAGGTCCGGGCCGTCCTATTTGACCAATGAGACCAGTCAAACCCATGTCACCTTTCTCGCCACGTTCACCTTGTAAACCAATCAAACCACGGGGGCCTGGTGGACCACGATCTCCTTTCTCGCCGTCGCGACCTGGGTGTCCAGGTTCACCTTTAGGTCCTGGTGGGGGTACTAGACCAGGTTCACCCTTTTGGCCAGATAATCCAGGTACGCCGTCTCGTCCATCGCGACCTTTAGGTCCAGTTGATCCCTTTTCACCAGGCGCTCCAACTGGTCCAGGTGCTCCATCTAAACCTGGGAAACCGCGATCGCCCTTCATACCATTGAGACCCGGTAAACCTTGTGGACCACGTAGACCTTG